TGAATTTTAAACAGAAAAACTTTGGTGACTCATAGAAAATTTAAATATTAGAAATACTTTTGTGGTGAAAAGTGTATAAAAGCATTATTATTGTATAAAATATATGTACATATATATATATCAGTTCAAGAATAGTAAGTCGAGTGAAGTTGTTCTGTTTAGTTTTTAAAACAGATATTAAAAAAGCATAAGTAAACATATTACAAAATACAAATTAACTGTTTCTAACCACAATTCTTGCAAAGCTTAATGAGACGATTTTTTTTTAATTTCCCACGTGAGCAATATAAATATAGTGTCTTTTGGAATGCAATGTTTCAAACAGATTTTGTACTTTATAGGGATACAATATTAAAAATAGCAATTATTTTTCTGCTTTATACTGTTTTCAAATTTTATGTGTGTTTAAAAAGTGGTTTCAATTTCGCAATAGCCAAACAAGCTTGGTAATAATTTATAAGCAAAAGTATTGAGTAGCATTACTTATAAAACAAATTTTGCTTCCAAAGTTCAATATATGTATGTATGTATGTATGAAGAGGGTTAGAATGTAGATACATACGATTCTATATATGTATACCTACATATAGACATGTATGTATAAGCATAGGTTAAAATGCATGATTTTCTAGTGTTAGTAAAATTTACATTGAGTGGCTATATGAATAATGTACATATGTATATAAAAATTACGCATAAGTTAAATTTAAGTAAAAATATCTACATATAAACATACATACATACATATGTAAATGTGTGCGTAGCAAAAGTTGCTTTTTTACGATGAAGAGTATGCGGACATAGAATGTATAGAACAGAGCTACATGCAAATATTACATATGTAGGTATATTTGTACATATGAATATGTAATTAATAAAAAAAAATTAAATATAAAATGATAAGTAATACATATAAAAAAGTTATTTATTATTTGTTGAGCAGAGTTTTTGTTCAATTTTTAAACAACATTAAAAACAAATTAATGTCACGCCTACACAAGCACTTATAAATACATATGGATGTAATATATACTATATTGATACTGATAATTTTTAAATATTTTTGTTCATAATACGTTTGTATATATTTAATTGTAATTAATATAAATGACTCTGTTAAATAGTTACTAGCTATGAACAATTTTCAGTTGAACTGTTTTGTAAATATGTATGTTAATTTTGTAATTACTCAATATGAAAAGTTAAGTTTATAAAAAATGCATACTGAGACACAAATGTATGTAATACAAATATGCACAGTTATGTGCAACAGAAAAAGTGTAACTACGCTCATACTTATACACATCTTCACATACATATAAATATATTAAAAATATTTACAAGTAAAACTAGTAGGCCAAATTATTTTTAAAGTCCTTGTGTAAAAACTGGAATATTACATAGAATTGCCGCTTTCTATAAAATATATGAATGTATGTCTGGAAATAGTATGCATACAATTACATACATACATATGTACGTTGATGGAAATCTCGTTAATGCGGCAAATGCATCGAAGAGCAATTGCATTACTTACATATATAAATTGATGCATATATAGAAGCATATAATAATATTTAGCGAAAAATTGGTATAGACTAAATGAACACAATTATATACATACTTACATACATGCATACTTTCATAAAGGCAATGATAT